TAGTCCTTTTCTAGTATCTAGCTAGTTCTAGTTACCCTTCACCCAGAGACCTTGAAATCTTCTATCTTTATTAGACTAAGTTTTCTTCTCAGATCAGACTTTAGCCAATATAGTTCTGTCAGAAAGCTGTACTAATTTATTGACTTAGAATTTTTACTATGCAAGTTCTTTGCTCATATATTCTATTAAGATTTATTTGTATAATATTATGTTATACTTTCAAGTTCTGATCGATTTAGTATAACTTAATTTATAGGCGTACGCCTTCAGAAACGAACAAGGTTTACCATAACATATCACAAAGTCTGAGAATTTATTCAAATTCGTTGACAGTAGAATTTGAACTCCAGACCTATTGCATAGCAGTTCGACAACCTAACTACTATACTAGGTCACTAGACCTTACTTAACCTCTCTTTTTTTTTTTTTGTTATTAAGGCAGCTTACATTGCCAAAGGAATTTTATTAGAATTACATATGGGATATATATTGATAGTCCTTACTGTTTGTAATTACATGAAGAGTATACAACAAGCTATATGTACAACTTTAGTTATTATCTAATTTAAGTAGTCCACTGCACAGATGATTAGACTACCTAATTGGTTCTACACTATGCTACTATATCTGTAACCTACTTGTGAGTTACCTATTTAAACACTCTGTTCATTAACCCATACAGATCTAATCTAATGTCACCACAACACCTAACTGCTTAAGCCAGCTAGCTCGTTACAGATTCATTTATTCAGAACGGCTTAGATCCTCTTAGAATACATTGTACCTAATGCATTGTAGGTATTGCAGAGCTGGTTAACTTCGAAGCATACCTACTAGAGTGGTCTGTACCTATTTTATGAATTAATCTTACTTAGACCCTTGTAGATATTCATACAACTCTAGTTTCTACTGTGGCTCTCCACTAGTTTTTTGTATTCTATAATCTTAGATATTTCATAAGGCAGATCTTCCTAATCTAGTTAGCTACCAAGCCAGGTTAGTGTTACTGATCCTCCCTGTAGACCAGATTTATGCGTACTCGACTTGATCTGTGTCTTTTGATAATAGTTTCTTTCTGAATCAAGCATTAGCTAGTGTGACTGTCAAAGGCTATACTACTTCACCAACTCAGAATTTCTACCATGCAGGTCCCCTGCCTATAGATCCTATCAAGATTTATTCATGTAATGTTATATCTTACTAAATACTTCATCACACTTCCAATATCTAGATGATATTGGTGCAATATGATTTACAAGGTTACAACTCCAGAAATGAACAGAGTTTATCATAAGTTGGGTACAAAGATCTGAGTAATTATTCAAATTTGTCGACAGTGGGATTTGAACCCCAGATCTCTTGCATGGCAGTCTATACTCAACTTCTCTTTTAATATTATCAAGAAACTAAAATATTTAGAAAATCTAATAATCTTATAAAACTCAATATAAAATCTTAACAATTTCTTTTTAACTAATTTATTCTATACTTATTTTTATTCTTTTGTATATATTATCTCTATACTATCATAAAAGATAATCTTAAAATTATTAAAAGTTTAAAATAAGCAAACTAAAACAAAATCAAATATTAGACAAACAATATTAGAGATATTTAATAGTCTAGTACTCTATTATATATAGTATTTAAAAAAAAACTATTATCTTTACAGACTAATTCTGTTTTTTCAAAATTAAAAAATTTTAAAGTCAAACTAATAGCTGAAAAACTTTCTAATTATCTTATATTATACTACTACAATCTTTTAAAATACAAAAATTAACTTTGTTTCTGATAATTTAAAGAACCAGAAAACAACTCACATCTAATATTCTGTATTTAGAATTCTACAACAATAGATTCTTTTATTTGAAATATGATTTTAATAATTTTTCAAGAATTAGATCTTACCTTAGCTTTGCTTAAAAAAAAAAAAAAAAAAAAAAAAAAAAAGAATTAGATCTTATAGTAACTAATATAATTAACTTTATTTTAGTATTTAAATATCTTATTTTTAATAAAAAGTTCCTTTAGAGATAATTATCTCAGCAATACTCATACTATTTGATAAATATTTATACAGAACCAAATATATACTTTTAATTTATTATTTGATTATTAAATTAATATACAAAGAAATTTGATTATTTTCTTATCAAATTATATATACAATAGACTTTTCTACTTTAGCTCTACTAATAGAAATACTTTTTTCTACTATAGTTTTACTCTTATACTCATATATTATAAACAAATTATAACAATATATAAATATTGAATATAACTTTCTTTTATTAATATATGAAAACTAGTAGTCTATAACTTTGTTAATATAGCTTAAATTAAGAGTAAATTAGCTTTTACTTCTATCTTTTCTTTTTTCTTTTAATTGTATATATGTTGCTTTTACATATATTACTTTATTTGAATTAAATAAAGAGTTAGAGAATAAACCTCATTGTTTAAATAATAATAATAATAATAATAATAATTATATATTATTATTGCTATCAAACTAATTACTAATCTATTTAGATTATTCATATTGATTCTATAGAATCAAGTTTTAATAATAGTAAATCTTAGTTTTTAAAAGTGAGTTATGATTTTGTATATGAAAATCAAATATATTTAAAAAAAAATAAATTGAATACTTATTTAAAAGATATCTAAAATAAGAACAACTTATATTTTTTAATAATTTTTTCAATTAAATTTAAGATTAGAGTTATCTTATATTAGAGTTATATTAAATTTTAGATAGTTATATATAAGCAAAATTGTTTTTCTAATATTTTTACTTAATTTACCTGAAGTAGATTCAGACTATAGTTCTTTGTATTTTTTAGATTTTTTATTTTTGTTTTTTGCTTTGTTTCACTAGCAATTATCAAAATTCTATAATTTGATTAGTTATAGTTATGCAAATTTAGATAATTTCTAAAATAGAAAATCAAAATTATTAATAAAATATAAAAACAAGTAATTTAATTGGTTATTAATTCTGAATAATCACAGATTATCAAAATTATTATATTAGTAAAATATTTTTAATTCATATATTTACTAATTTCTTTTCAGAGTTTTATTAGCTAGAATTATTTGTACTAATTTATATATTATCTTTTGTTCAAAATATGATATCTTAGTTAAGTTAGAGTTAGAGTTAGTAGCTAGCATTATACCAAAATTTTGCAAGAAATTTTTTTTGTTAGTATACTAAAGATAGTTTTTTATACAAATTTTAAGATAAATATAACTTACAAAAAAAAGTAATTGTTGTTTTAATCATTACTTTATATCTAATCTTGATCTCTGATTAGCCAAAATTGAAACTCTAAAAGAAAATTAGTAAATACTCAATCTACTTATTTAACAAAAATATTGATTTTCTTGTATATACTAGGTATATTTATATGCTTGCTACAACTAGTTTTTTGACTAATTAATACTATTTATATAATATTTATATAAACAATTAGGTATAACATTAAAATTAAAAAAACAAGTGATTTTTTAAAAAATTCACTTTTATTTTAAAAAGTTGTTTATAAAACTAACTTTATATTTTAATAAAAATTTTCCTTACAAAATTTTAGTATATTTTTTTATCTATTATTCTTTCTAATCCTAATTCTAAATCCTAACTCTAATTTGAATTAATAGTATTAAAAATATGTTCTGAAATCAATGTAATAATAACAATAATAATCATTTCTAAATTAGATAGTAGATACATAGATGTATTCTATGTATACTTATTTGCACTAGTGATATAAATCTAAAAAAGAAATTTTCATATATAAATTGTAAAATTAAGTATAATATTTATATAATATAACATTGAAGACTTTTTCAATAAATCACCTGTAACTTTAAATTTTGACTAAAAAAATATCTTTAGCATACTAATTAAAAAAATTCTTTGCTAAATTTTGTATATATATTACTTTGCTAAAATCTTAGACTTTACCCTAAATCTAAAGTTCTAAATTCAATATTTTATTAGTAAAAAACTAATAAAAATAATGTTTTTTCCTTTTTTGAGATTGTATTATCAGTACAAATAAGTAAATTAGATTTGCTCAAGATCAGCTAATTAGAATACAATATTTGGCATAATGTAATTAGTAACTAAAGTTCATTTTATGGTACTAGTAGCTTTAAATCTATACAAAAATTAGCCTTCTAAAAAATGCTACTACTTTTTTTACTACTTATTAATTACAAAACTAATTCACAAAATTTATTTTTTTTGTTGTTAAGAACAAAACTTGTAATTTCAATTTAAATTTAAAGTTAAACTAAAAGAGTAGTAGCAATTTAAAGTTGAAGTATTTTATTAAAAAATTACAAAAAAGTGAACTTATATAATTTATATTTCTAGCCAATCAATATATTTAAAATTGATCACATATTTTAATTTTAATTAGTCAAATATTAGAAAAATATATAAAATATCAAATTATAAAAAAAAACGAAAACATATATAAATTTTAAAATAATTATATATATGTATATAGAAATAAAAAAGTGAACAAAATCATATGATTATAGATTTAAAGCCGCTAGCACCATACTTTCCGTAACTTCCCAGCGAACATGATTTCTGTTTGTTGATTGTCTACTTTTCCGAAACCTGCTAACAATTCAGGTTGGCCAAATTTATGTTGCTCGGCCCAAATTACAATCTTAATTTTGCCGGTAGTGGTATTGCAGTTGTTTTTAATATAAAAAAAAATCAATAACAATAACTTATTTGGAAAGTTACTTTAATTGCGTCTTCTTATTGGTCGAGTTGTTCAACGATTTTATATCTCAGTACTGCAGCATCTCAAGTTTGTGTAACTTACTGTCTATAGTGATACGTAGCCTATAATAAAGTTAAAATTCGAACGCAAATAATGTTAGATAATTGTAACTATAAAATAGCTTCACACACATAATCTGAATTTAGAATATTTATTTATTATTATTTTCAATTTTCTCATCTAAAAAAAATGGAAAGGCTTGACGAAGATAGCGCTGACTTGGATTTTTTAGAAGAAAATTTAGAGAAAACTGAAGAATTAACAGAAAAAATGGTCTGTTTTTACTTATTCGTTTCTTTTGTTCGAACACAAAGAGTTATTTGGGTAGTGTGTAAGAATATTAGTCGGATAATTTTTGAGTGGCGCGATCGGGCATTTGTAAGTGCATATTTTTTACCATTTTATGCATATTTGCTTTTATTATTATTATAGACCAGCATTCTGAACGTGTTTGATGATCGATTAGTAAGATTGGAAGCTTCAATATTAGCGATTCATAAGTCAACACAGACATTATCTAAATTGGTGGACAGTATCCTTTAATTCATGTTATTTGGATTTAAATTATATTACTTGGTTATATAATGTCACCTACATCAGTATTTTATACATATAGATATTGATAAAACACGTAATGGTGTTGTCGAAATTATTGGTTATTTTGATCTGGTTGAACGAGAAGAAGTGACTATAAAAAGAGGGTGAATATGGTTTTTTTTTTTTTTTGAACTTAAAATTTTTTATTTAAATTTTTTTATAAACTTTTCTTATTAAATCTTATTTTTAACAGACCAAATGTAAATGATTTGGATTCTTATTTAAATTCTATTGGAAAATGTAATAAAGCCATGGAAGTTTTGGGCGCAATGAGGTTAAAAAGTAGTGAAAAAATTATCGGACAATTGGTACAAACAAATTATAGATTGTTTATTTTTGATAGTTTGTATGTTAGTGTTAACTGGATTCTTTATATAATATTGTAGAAACAAATTTTAAAAGCTGCAATGTTGCAATTAGAAGAACTTTTTCGACTTTGGTTAACAGAACGAAGTAACCCTATTGAGCCACTTTCTTTTTTAACAAAGAGTAAGGTTTAAAACGCTAAACATGCAATTCCAAAATATATCATTATTATATCTTTATATACTTTTTTCTTAATAGAATTGGAGATACCTGGAATACCAAGTGTTTCTTCAAAAAACCTTAAGACATTATCTTCTTATCTTGCGACAACAGGTCTGGAACTTGGTTATACGAGTGAATTTGTTAAAATATACATTGATGTTAGATCAAATTATCTTGTAAAGTCATTAACAATGCTGGCTCAGGCTTCAATAAGCACTGCTGAAAAAAGAAGTACTCCAGTATATGAAAAGGGTACATGTGGCTTCAATTCTTACACGGAAGCTGTATTGATGATGTTTAAGGTATTTTACTTTTATATATCATGTATGTTATTATTTTTTTATTTATTATTTACCTGAATTATGACTAAATATTTATATATTCTATAGACAGAGTACGAAGTTGCTGAAAAGATACTTCCACCAGAAAATGTTTCAAGTAGTTTTAGAGATGCTATACAACAATCACTAGATAATTTTATAGAAATAGGAAGAATATTAAACAATCGTATAAAAAAGAATATGCAAACAGATATATATCTGGCTTTTGATATTATGGAAACATTGCATCTGAACATGGGTGCTTTTGAAGAAATATTTAAAGTAATTATTAAATCTCGTAATTGGTACAATTAGTTCTGCTCTTGATAGTTATCTTATTTTTTCTTTGAAAAAAGCTTGCAGGTAAAAAAGATACTGCATTGAGTGATCTTATTTATTCATTGCGTGCCGTTGCTATACGTTCTTTTCCCGAGTTCTTGGATGAAATTAAGGTAATAAACATTATAATAAAATTGTGTCTTTATTTCTTATGCTAACTTTATTTATTTATGTAGCAGAGTCATTCTACAAAAACATCTGGCCTTCCAAACGATGGTACCGTACATGAACTGACAATTACGGTATGTCTCAATTACTAATTTTTTGCTTTGCATTGAATATTGGTTATTAACCGATATTTCATGATATTATATTATTGATTTTCTTTAGACTTTACAACATTTGAAACGATTAACTGATTATCCAGAAACAATTGAATCTACATTGTTAACATTGGGTGATGGTAATTGGAATGCTTCAGAGAAAGATCCTAATTTCTCTCGAGATAGGAACGGGCGAATTTCAGGAAATGCTGTCGTTAAGCATTATTTTTGTATGTTTCAAATATATATATATATATATTTTTTTTTATCACTAAATTATATACTCGTTTACTAATTCAAACCTTTAATTATATATTTATATAGCTGATGTTTTAGAATGTTTAGCCCAAAGCCTTGATAGTAAAGCAAAAACATATAAAAAATTTACGTTGACTTCTATATTTTTGTTAAATAATTATTTTTACATATTAAAATCTATAAGGACTCAATTTATGTCAGTTCTCGATCCAGAAGTTGAGTCCAAATTTGATAAAATGGTAAAAAAGTGGAACGATACATATCAGGATACGTATGTTTCTTCACTACATACCGGTAGTGTTTTATAATTTATAAAACACCTAATTTAACATATTTTGAAAAATAGATGGAAATCATGTTTCTCTAATCTTATGGATTACACATGGGTCCGAGGTGGTGCTTTAAAGACTACACTGGGTTCAAATGAAAAACAAACTGTCAAAGAAAAATTCAAGGTAATGATAGTTTATTCGGAATGATGCTTTTTATATTTATATATATATATATATATAGTAAAGGAATGTTTTTAATTAGAATTTCAATACGGAATTTGATGAGCTTTACAAAGTTCATAAAGGGTACTCGATGCCGGATCCTGAACTTCGTAACCAAGTTATAAGAGACATTAGGGCTGTTTTGATACCTATGTACAATCGTTTTTTGGAAAAGTAAGGATGTTATTCTTTATTAATTTTATTCTTACTAGAGTTTTTTAAATTTATCTATTTTATTTTATTTTATTTTATTTTGCAGACATCAACAATCAGAATTCTCAAAGAACCCAACAAAATATATAAAATATGATTCAGCAACTCTTGAAAGTACAGTAAATCGTTTGTTTGATAGTTCGGCTTAAAAATAGAATAAATATATAATTTAATAAAAGAAAATAATTACTACCTACTTATATTAAATGTAATGTGAAGTACAATGAAAAAACGGTAATCTGAAATATATCTAGGTCATAAACATCAATAGGCGAAAATGTTTTATCGTCTCTCGTTTGAATTGTTTAAAAAAAATTGTAGCTTACTTCATTTTATAGGAACCTATTTTACACTTTTATATTCAAAATTTCTACAACATCATATATAAGTCGTTGAGTAAATAGCAAAGAGTTACTTTATCTCATAAATCTAAACTACAAAACCGAAAAATCGAAAAATTGGTTCTTTTTGATTAATTAGCTGTTGACGTTCTTAATAACTGGTATAAAACTTGGATCAAGTTTAAATACAAGATTTTTCATAGATTTTAAATCTCGTTCAATTGCTTTTATATTTTCACGTGTATCCTAATTAAACCCCAAATTTAATTGTTTGATCATTTAAAATAAAATAAAAAAAATTTTTTTTTAAAAAGAAATAAAAAGGCAAAACAAAACCTCAACAATTTTTTCAACTTTTTCTAACCCACTGCTTGTTTGAGATAAAACACGAGTTACTAAAGATATTTGATTATTTGAATGATTAACTAGGTCTTGTCGAAATTGATGACTTATTTCACCTTATTATCCATAATATGAAAAATGATATAAAATTAATATTACTAATATACTATTTATAATGTCAATTAATAAAAAAAAAAAAAAAAAATGGAAGTTATATTTTTACTTAATTTTTGTTGAGATGTTGGAGTCCTAGACAAAAATTCAAGTTATTAATAAATCGAAAAAATAATTATTATATAATTAGCTTACTTTGTGGTTGAATTGACCATCATTATCGATTTGGAGAAAAAAAAAATCTAAGTATCTTGTATAAAAAAATATTTTATATATTTACTTAAAATTCTACTTATTTGCAAATTCACGAAAGTCAAATATAAGAGCAAACAAAAAGCTGAAGAAAAATATTATATATAAATTAACCAAAGTTTATAAATTATTTATCGTTACGTATCGATGTTTGTAGACTTCAAAAAAGGAAATCAATTTGAATATCTTATCGGTCAAGTGTAATTAATTCTCTATTAGTTATGTTTTGTAACAAAAAGCCGAACTTTCCTTCTAAGTCAACATTCAAATTTTACAACTTAACTAGACTTTTACACTCATAATAAAAACTTTTTACTATCTAGTACTATAATTTTTTTTGTTTTTTACGCTCTTAGATTAAAAACCTTTGATAGCGTTTAAAATCATCAATAAAATTCAACGCGAATTTTGATTGGCTGCAAGACTTAGATCTTGCTGTATTGATATCGATATTCCCTTAGGTGTGAACAGATGTAGATCATCCTATCACGGGAAATTCACATGATTTCCTAAATTTCCTTCGTTTTTTAAACCTTGCTCCTTACAGCGAAAGATTCTCACCAATTTCCTAGTAGATATAGTTTCTGCAACCTAATTAGATGCACTAATCTAAGTTTTAGATAATCTTTTATAGCCGATTATGAAAATTTTTAAAAATTTTTTAAAAAATTTTCTAAAAATAAAATATCTTAGAATGTCTTCTGCATATAGTGAAGACTTAAAATGGCATATTATATTTCTTAAACATGATGGTTATTCTAAAAGACAGATTACAGAACTCCTTTATATTAGTAAAGGTCTAATACACAAAGTATTATGGTTGTATAAAATGTGGGGAACTGTAGTTAATCCCTGAAGACAAATACCAGAGTAACATAAAACATTTGATTAAAATGATATGAATATAAAATATTATAATGTATTTATAATATATAATATATAATTTTATTATTTACAACAATAAATTTTATAAATAGATTTTAAAAGGCATCATTCAAGAAAATACTGATTGGTATCTTGATGAAATAGTTTATGAAATAGAAATTCGAAGTGGCAAACATGTTTCTGTTCTCACTCTTTGGAGATCATTAACATATTGTAGAATAACTATCAAAAAGGTTTTATAATTTTTACATTTATATAGTTAATTTATAATATTTAATAAATATTTATTTTAGTTAACCAAGATTGCAAAAGAATGTAATGAATTACTTCGTAGTGCTTTTATAATATATATTGGTTCTCAATATCAATGTGAATAGCTAATTTTTTTAGATGAGTCAGCTAAAGATAAATGAACAATTATTTGTGATTATAGCTATTCTGAAATAAATACAAGAGCTATAAAAAGAGTAGCATTTGTTTGTAGCAAGTGTTATACAATTTTACCTGCTCTTATCTTAGATGGTATTATTGCCACTGAAATTATTGAAGGTAGCTATATGAAAGAAAAGTTCAAAAAATTTGTTATTTCTCAAGTAGTATATATGTATATACAAAATATTTTTGTTATCAAAATAATTTATATTATAATTATTTTTATAGTTACCTCGAATAAATTTATATCCATATGCAAAAAGTATATTAGTTCTTGATAATACGCAGATTCATCATCATAATAGATTACTTGAATATTTGAATACATTTGGTGTTTGTGTAGAATTTTTTCCTCTATATTCACCAGATCTTAATCTAATAGAGATGGCATTTTCATATATAAAAAATTATTTAAAACGTTATCATTATTTTGTAGAAAATAGTTTTAATCTAATTTATCTTTTATTAGTTAGTTGTTTACAAATTACACCATTACTTGCTAATTCATTTTTTAATAAAGCAGGTTACCAATAAAAAAGATTTATTATATTTTTTTTTTTTTTTTTTAACTTAGGCGATCTTGCCCATCATTTTATTAAGAATAAGCTAAACTAAGCTACA